CCTTCCTTCCTTCCTTCCTTCCTTTCTTTTGCTGGTCCTGGGGCTTGAACTCAGGGCCTGGGCGCTGTCCCTGAGCTCTTCAGCTCAAGGCTGGCGCTCTACCACTTGAACCACAGCGCCATGTCTGGTTTTCTGGTGGTTTCTTGGAGATCAGAGTCTCATGGCCTTTCCTGCCCAGGCTGGCTTTGAACCACAATCCTCAGATCTCAGCCTCCTGAGTCGCTGGGATGACAGGCGGGAGCCACCAGTGCCCAGCCAAATGCTTAGCCACTAAAAAACAAAACAGAAGAAAAGGAAAGAAAAGAATTGACGAGAAATCCAGGCTCCCGCCTGTCATCCCAGCGACTCAGGAGGCTGAGATCGGAGGATCGCAGTTCAAAGCCAGCCCAGGGCAGGAAAGTCTGGGAGACTCTAATCCCCAATAAGCTACACACAAAAAAAAGCCGAAAGAGGCACTGTGATTCAGGTGGTAGAGCACCAGCCTTTGTTTTAAAAGCTCAGGGACAGCGCCCAGGATGTGAGTTCAAGCCCCAGGACAGCACAAATAAACACCAGCACCACTGAAAGAGAAGAGAACTTGGCGCTGGATGTGAAATAAAATGTACTAGAATAAATGCCACTAACATGGTTTTTGTTTTGGTACAAACGTGATTTCACCTTCAAGATACAAAATAAAATCTCTGACAAGAGGTTAGCGGTTAGTGTGTGTAATTGAGGTGTTTAATTCATCTATTCATACAGCATACAAAACTAAGATTTCTCCAGGAAAAAAAAAAAAAACACATGCATCCTGTACCTCTTCTACCTGTATCTACCTATTTAGGATTATATAGTATTATAAAGGATGAGTTATTTGCTCGTACTGATCTCTATTTGTGTCCATCTTCCCACCTTCGTGTCTGTTAAAACTTGGAATTGTCAGATTCTTTCCCAGATCATCGGACTATTTATTATTTATGACCCAGGCTCGTTTCCACATGGCCCTGGGTTTCTGGGAAGTAGGTTCGCTCTTCATGGCTCTGATCTGGAAACACAATGAATTGGAAGAGCAAAACCTGTGTCGATGTGCTGGAGACAGCGTTACTTTTTTGAACAAACCTAGACTAAACTCTCTGTGTCCTTAAAAGCAGCCGTGTTTGTGTCTATCTGAAGGGAGTGCTGTGTTTCTGTTTGGCTGGGCTACAAAACCAAATAAAAATAATAAAAGTCAGCTTTGTTTCCCACAATTGTAGGGCTGGGCGCTGGTGCTCACGCCTAGCATCCCAGCGACTCAGGAGGCTGAGATCTGAGGATCGTGGTCCAAAGCCAGCGGGTGAGATTCTTATCTCCAATAAACTGCTCAGGAAAAGCCAGAAGTGGAGCTGTGGCTCAAGTGGTAGAGCACCAGCTTTGAGTGAAAGAGCTCAGGGACGGCGCCCAGGCCCTGAGTTCAAGCCCCAGGACTGGCACAAACCAAACCAAACCAAAAAAACAACCACAAGACTTGGTAGGTGTTTCCGTAACACAGCAACATCCCAGGGACTCGGTTCAGATTCCAGGCTTTTGACCGGGGGCTGATGATGGCTGGTGGTTTTGTCAGTAATTTCTCGGATGTCTGTTTTCTCTAAAGGTTAGGACTCAGACCTAGTAGGATTTGAGACACAAGTACCTTGGAATTCGCAGAGGAGCAACATGGGGGACACAGAGGAAAGGAAGGACGCTCCGAGAATCAGATGTCTTTCGAAGGTGAAGGTATGATGTCTCTATCTATCTATCTATCTATCTATCTATCTATCTATCTATCTATCTATCTATCTATCTATCTATCCATCCATCAATCCATCTACCCACCCAACTATCTATCATCTATCTATCCATCATCTATCCATCCATCAATCCATCCACCCACCCACCTATCTATCTATCTATCTATCCATCCATCAATCCATCCATCCACCCACCTATCTGTCTACCTCTTTATCCATCCATCCATCCACCCATCCACCCACCCACTCATCCAACAACCTGTGTCTATCTATCTCTTTATCTATCTACCTACCCACCTACCTATCTATCGGTTTGTCTCTCTCTCTATCTACCTATCAATCTATCAATCCACCAATACATCCATCTATGCATCTGTCTAGCTTTTCATCTATCTATCCATTGATCTGTCCATACAATCATCCATCTCTCTCCATCCATCCACCCATCCATCCACCCACCCATCCATCCATCCATCCATCCATCCACATCTCTATCTATCTATCTATCTATCCATCCATCAATCCATCCACCCACCCACCTATCTATCTATCATCTATCTATCTATCTATCTATCTATCTATCTATCTATCTATCTATCTATCTATCTATCTATCTATCTATCTATCTATCTATCTATCTATCTATCTGTCTAGCTTTTCATCTATCTATCCATTGATCTGTCCATACAATCATCCTATCTATCTATCTATCTATCTATCTATCTATCTATCTATCTATCTATCTATCTATCTATCTATCTATCTATCTATCTATCTATCTATATCTATCATCTGTCTGTCTGTCTATCTACCTATCCATCTATCCATCCAAGAGCACTTGCCTTGAGCAAAAGAGCTCAGAGACAGTGCCCTGACTTCAAGTCTTACGACCGACCCCCTCCCAAAAGAAAACCCACAAAACCCTGAGATTATCTCTAAGTAGGATTCGAACCACAAGCGTCTTTGAAGGCCGTAAACGAAGGCGCTGTCTCAGAAGGTTTCGGGGGTGTGCCCCTATGGTGGCAGGGTTTTCTGGGGTCACACAGCCATGCGTGTGTGGGGTCCCCCATTCCTAGAAAACCCTTCATTCATCGGCACAGAAAAGCCTTGCTGAGCGCAAGGATCCAGTACCCCAGACGGGCTCCGACCCGAGCAGCGTGGCCACGGATGCCGCCTGTACAGCCAGCCCGGCGAGCAGAGTCCCCCACGCAAACACTTCACGCAGTCCTCGACCTGCCCAAAGCTGGCTTTCCCTTCGAACTCGTGTCACAGGTCATCTTAAAAAGAGGACTCTGTGCCCAAGCCTGCTACTCAGGAGGCTGAGCTGTGAGGATTGTGGTTCGAAGCCAGCCTGGGCAGAAATGTTTATGAGACTCTGATCGCCAGTGAACTCTGCCCCCCTAAAAAAAATGCTCAGGGACAGGGCCCCGCTTCTCGGAGGAAAATATGATACTACTGTTGGTAATAAAACCAGCAGGCTGCGTCCGTCTATGCAGAATGGTTGCTACAGCATCTGGTACGGGGTTCTGCATCCATCCAGCTGTTCTAGGCTGAGCTTCTGGAACATTCTCATTGGATATCCTGTGTAGGGAGGGAAGAAGACACAGCATAGATTGCTCCCAACATCTCTTCCGGGGTGCGGAAGGCAGCCTAGGACCATGGTAGACATGAGTATTTTTATATATGACAGGCCGATGGAGAGTATACAGAGTCGTATATCCTGTACATAATCGTACGTATATGTAATGTACATCATCTAAAACATACAGTGCATATTATTGTACATATTATAAATACACATATAATACAGTATACATTATAATATGATATATACTATAATGTAATATATAACATATTCATCATAATACTATAGATTATATATACTATCTACTAATATATACTGTATGCAACAATATTAGAATAGATATTTTACATATATGGTGTTATATATGGATATCTACAGTGTATATACAATATATTATCTATTATATGATATACTATATAATATATGTAATATATTATATGTGTTATAATATATTCTATATTATACATATTATATTTATAAGTCTCATATTTTTAAATACAATACAAATCCATATTTGTATATTTATAATTGATATATTTTATATAATATAATACATATAATATGTAATATATACATATACATCATAATACTATATATTACATATGCTACCTACTAATATATACTGTATGCAACAATATTAGGATAGATATTTTACATATATTGTGTTATATATGTATATATACCGTGTATATATAATATATTATCTATTATACGATATAGTATATAATGTATGTAATATATTATATATGTTATAATATATTCTATATTATACATATTCTATTTATAAGTGTTATATTTATAAATACAATTCAAATCCATATTTGTATTATATTTATAATTTATATATTTTGTATAACATAATACAGATAATATGTAATACATATATAAAATATCTTATCTATTCTATACAATGTACATATAATAGGTACATAGGTTTTCTTCTACGGCTTTTTTTCTCTCTAGATGTTTCTGTTGGCGTTAACATGGGCCTATATTTCCAAAACGCTGTCTGGGTCGTACATGAACTCCATGCTCACACAGATAGAGCGGCAGTTCAACCTCCCCACCTCGCTGGTCGGATTCATTAATGGAAGCTTCGAGATCGGTACGGTTTACACCTGCATTACCTCCTTCTTATCGTCCGCTGCATCTGTGGGGCTGGTCTGGCTTTATTCATGTTTATCGTTGGAGTCATTTAGTCTCACCAAGTTGTATGCTGTGTGTTTGGTTTTGGGGCCAGTCCTAGGACTTGAACTCAAGGCCTGGATTCTGTCCCTGAGCTGCTTTTGCTCAGGCTGGTGCTCTACCGCTTGAGCCACAGCGCCCCTTCCAGCTTTTTTCTGTGTATGTGGGACTGGGGCGTCGAACCCAGGGCCTCATGCATGCTGGGCGAGCACTGTACCACTGAGCCACACTAATGACTGATTCAGTTCTTCGTCTGGTTGTCATTGTGACCACAGGAAGACTTGAGGTCGCTCTGGGCGCTGTGCTGGGAACGCAGCTCAGCCCGAGTTTAGATGATCACGAGCAGTGAACACTTCCCAGAGCGAAAAGAGAGCCCTGTCCTTACTTAACTCTTGTCAGCATGAAAAAAATGGCACCAAATATTCCAAGCACCAGGATTTCACACACTTCTGAGCCGATAGCATGTTTAGCGTGTGAAGGACCCAGTGACATTGGTCATGAAGATGATGATGAACCACCCAAAAGCCAACAGTGGTTCAAGTGGTAGAGCACCAGCCTTGAGCCCAAGGGTTCAAGGAAGAGCACTCAGGTCCTGAGTTCAAGTCTCAGGATACACACACACACACACACACACACACACACACTGGATTGCCATGGATGTTTACTGATTTCCCTGCAGGAAATCTGCTGCTGATCATCTTTGTGAGTTACTTCGGGACGAAGCTGCACAGGCCCGTGATGATCGGCGTGGGCTGCGTGGTCATGGGCCTCGGCTGTTTCCTGATCTCTCTCCCGCACTTCCTCATGGACCGGTGAGTGGGGCGACGTCCGGTTTCGCTTTCCCCTTTCCGGGAAGCAGGCTGGGCCTGACCTGTGTGTGCTCAAGTGCTCACAGGAACACAGCACACACAGAGTGGGGGACAGGGGACCCCCCACCCCAGGAGTATCTCCTGTTTCTACTCACCCTGGATGGACACACTCTGTGGGTTATTTTTGTATGTATATATTTTTACTGTGATGATAAAGGTGACTTGCAGAGAGGTGACGGTGACATCATTCAGGTCGTGAGCGCATTGCTCTGTGGACCCTGTCCCCCCTTCCCTCGCTCTCCCCCCCCAGATTTTCTCTCCCGTCCCCACCCACGAGTGGTGGAGTTCATTCTCCACCTGGTGTCCAGTGAGGACCCCGGCTGCCTTAGTTTCCCCCTCTGTCCCCCCATTTCTGTGTCCCCCTCACCCTCCCAGAGACAGAGAAACCCACCCAGGAGACAGAAAGAAACAGAAACCACAGAGAAGAATCAGGCCTCTTGCGTCCATTTCCCGAGTCCGTCGGATTGCTGTTCTTTCCTCTGATCACAGGCCTGGCCCTTGGGGCTGCTCCCTCCCAGCGTCCCCCTCGGGTCTGGCTGTGTGTGACATCCAGCCCCCTGTCCCCCATCCTGTCCCCATGGATTTTAGATCTAGCTTCTGCCCAGGAGAGAAAACCCACGCCCTTTGCTTTCTTGATTTCTTCCTTAAATTGGTTGTGAGGCTTGAACTCAGGGCCCTGAGCTGTTTCCCTCAAGACTGGTGCTCTACCACTTGAGCCACAGCTCCAGTTCTGGCTTGCTGGTGATCCATTGGAGATCAGAGTCTCACGGACTTTCCTGCCCAGGCTGGTTTCAAACTGTGATCCTCAGCTCTCAGCCTCCTGAGAAGCTGGGATGCCAGGCGGGAGCCATCAACACCCGGCTCTTTTTCTTTTCTTCTTGTTTTGGAGAGTGAGTGATTTCTCAGTACAGACAGAAGAGCCAGGGTTTCAAGTGGTAGAGCACTGGGCCTGGAGCAAAGAAGCCAAGCCAGAACACAAAGGCCCTGAGTTCAAGACCCGGTCAGTACTGGCTCACATTATAAACAGCAAAACACAGACAGATGAGAGAGTGGTTGGTCTTTGTTCTAGAGATAACCGTCCCCTGCACCCCGAAGGGCTTGGTCTACACAAACTACGCGCCACGCTGGGGCTCTGTGGGCCTGTTTTGAGGTCAAGGCCTTGAAATTTCCCTCATTATGATACTGGGGGGCGTCCGGCCTTCGCTGGACTCTCAGCTGCCTTCCATTACTCTGGCCTGCTTTCCTCCACTGCTATCTTCTGTTTCTTTGATCTCTCATGTCTGTCTCTAGAGAAAAACCAATTCAAACTGGGGAAGCTGAGATCTGAGGATCCAGGTTTGAAGCCAGCTCCCCAGTGGGAGAGAAAAGTCCTGACCCCGAGACTCTGATCTCCAACGAATCAGCAAAAAGCCGGAAGTGGAGGTGTGGCTCAAGTAGTAGAGCGCCAGTTTTGAGTGGAAAAACAAACAAACAAACACAAAACAGCCAGAGGAGAGTGTGGGGGCCCTGCAAGTTCACGTCCCCATCAGGGCTTTCTTGGAAAGTAGGAAAGCGAAGCCTTAAAAACTTCACACACCCTGTTTAAATCTGGAACCGATCCGTATTTTTCCTTCCATGCTGGATCGGCGGACATTTTCAACGGCTGTGGACAGGTTTGTTCCGCCAATTTAGTCATTTCTTACACACACACGATGTGGTAAGATTCTTATTTTATGTTTGTGCTTGTGGGATTTGAACTCAGGGCCTGGGCGCTGTCCCTGCGCTCTTCAAGCTCAAGGCGGGCGCTCTACCGCTTGAGCCACAGAGCCACGTCCGGTTTTCTGGTGGTTCATTGGAGATCAGAGTCTCATGGACTTTCCTGCCCTGGCTGGCTTCGAACCGGGATCCTCAGATCTCAGCCTCGTGAGTAGCTGGGATGACAGGCGGGAGCCACCGGCGCCTGGCCGACCAGTCTCTTTGTTTTTGTAGACATTCATTCTTTCCTTTCAGATTGCTTTGCTGCCATTTTGTTTACTGGTATCTGGATACCAAAGGGGTTTTCAGTGAGTCACACTGGATCTTTTCAGATGTGTTTTGAAAGAGATGGAAGTTTCTAGGCCAAAGGATTTGACTGGGACTTCCTATTCTTTTCAAGACAATGCCAATTAAAGCCCAGCTATCATTTACAACCACTCTCTCGGAGACAGAGACCTCTCAATTTCCCTTTTTCCTCTTTGTAGCTAACCGAAGTTTGAAGTCAGGGCCTCCTAGTTGCTTAGATTACTGCTCATGGCTGGCGCTCTACCACTTGAGCCACGCCTCCAGCCTTGATTCTTTTTTTTTGCTGAGTTTCTTGGATTCACAGACTGGCTTGTGAACTGTGATCCTCCGGATGTCAGCCTCCTGGGCTTCTGGCCCTTTTGGTCTTGGAGAAACAGCAGCAAACAACCAATCCATCCTGCCGGCTAGCGACTGAGTCTCTCCTGGACAAATTGCTCATTTATTTTTCATGCTTATTTGATTGTTTTCCTTCTGGAAGAACTCAGGAGCACACAGAGGAATCATTGTCGGTCTTCCCTGAATGGGGAGATGTGGCTGTCGGAGCCCTCGGCCTGCGGAGAATCGCATGTTTTGTTTTGTGAGGCTGTTTGCCTTTTCTCTTCTTAATTATACTTTCATGGGGCCTCGGGCTATTCTTCGTCTTCCTGACCACACAGACGTCTATGAATTCACGTTCGTGACAGTAACATATATTTAATATACTAAATATATATTACTACATGTTCAGGACAGTAACAGATACATTTACATATATTAAATATCTATTACATTAATTTACATTAGTTATCACAGATATATTTACGTATGGTAAATATATTATCTAGTATATTAATTCATGTTAATTATAATAACAGCTATATTTATGTATTAAATATAGTCTATTAAGTCATGTTCATTGCAGTCACAGACATATTTACATATGTTAAATATATATTACATTAACTCATGATAATTATAGGATACATTTACATATGTTAAATATAGTATATAATTCATGTTCATTACAGTCACAGACATATTTATATATGTTTAATATATTATGTATTACATTAACTCATGTTAATTATAGGATACATTTACATATATTAAATAAAGTGTATTAATTCATGTTCATGACAGTAACAGATATATTTATATATATTAAATATATTATATATTAATTCACATTAATTATAACAGATATATTTACATATATTAAATATAGTATATTAATTCATAACAGTAACAAATATATTTGCATATATTAAATATATTGTAAGCTGGGCACTGGTGTCTCCCGCCTGTCATCCCAGCTACTCAGGAGGCTGAAATCGGAGGATCAAGGTTCAAAGCCAGCCTGGGCAGGAAAGCGTGTGAGACTCTTATCTCCAAGGAACCACTGGAAAACTGGAAGTGGTGCTGTGGCTCAAGTGGTAGAGCACCAGCCTTGAGCTGAAGAGCTGAGGGACAGCGCCCAGGCCCTGAGTTCAGGTCCCACAATTGAAAAAAATTTTTAAAAAATATAGCATAATTTATGTTAATAACAATAACATTTTTATTTATTAAATACATTATATATTACATTAATTCATGTTAATTATAGTAACAGATATGTAGTTATATATATTTGTATATATTTATATATCTGTATATATATGTAGCTGTATATATAACTATATATCTTATCTATATCTGGAAATATATGAACATATATTTAAATTTATATATGATATGTATAAATTTATGTTTAAATATGAACACATGTTTATATATATCTGGATATATAATTTTTACATATGTATCCATATATAAAAATGTCTATAAATATATATACATCTATATACACATCTGTGTCAGTATATTTTTATATACTGATATATGTTTATATGTATTTGCCCATTTTGCACATTTATGTATATGTTATATAATATATTATATATTATTAAATCTTACTTATATATTATATATTGGTTATATAGTATTAAACACGTAGTAACACATCATATCTGTTTCCAAAACATGTATTTATAACATGCAATATATTAAACATAAATATATTTCATAAAACATATGTATATATGTAAAACTCACCTATGTTATAAATAGGTCTAGTCATAGAAAGCATATAAATGCATAAACACATACACGTATCTGTATATAGTGTGCATAATGTCAGTAGTGGGCCTTGAACTCAGGGTCTTGAGCTTTTGCTCCATTCTTTCTCTCGAGTCTCACCTGCTCACCTTGGAGCCACAGCTCTACTCTGGCCTTTGGTTAATTAGAAATAAACGTCTCTCCGACTTGTCTGTCTGGGCTGATGTTGAACCTGCATCCTCAGATCTCAGCCTCCTGAGTAGCTGGGATTACAGGCGGGAGCCACCGTGCCCGGCCTGGGAGGGTCATGTTTGCAGGATCTCCAGGCTGAAGGAAAGCCAGAGCCATAATGTCTCTGGGGCCCTCGGTGTCTCTTAAAGAAACGTTTCCCCTGTGTCCCCGCAGATACGAGTACGAATCCACGGTGTCCACTTCAAGCAACTGGTCTTCGGACGGCTTCCTGTGTGTGGAAAATGGAAGCCAGGCTTTAAAGCCCACCCACGACCCCTCAGGTTGCCTGTTTGGTTGTCTTGTCCCCTGAATTTCAGGGATCTCGGGGCCTTCCACGGGAGGCCGGGTTTAGGAAAGTGGATCAGATAAATCCAGAAGTAGGATTTGCACCCCCCTTCCAGGCCTTCAGAGAGAAGAGTCCTGGAGGGAAGGAAGCACCCCGAGCCGCAGAGTTAGGAAGCTTACACGGGAATCTAGACACGTCTCTGTGTTCCGATGGCCTTACCCCGTTCTTAGAGTCGTAAACTAAAAGTGACCGGCCAGCCGAGCACTGGAGACCCACGCGAACGCGTCTCCTCTGCATTGGCCAATTAATTCACCAGCCTAAACTTCTCCTGTGTAATGAAGCCCAGGGCATTAATTCTACAGAGCTCCTGTAATACAGGGCACCGATGGATATTGATTGATTGAGTGAGTGTGTGTGTGTGTGTGTGTGTGTGTGTGTGCGTGCCAGCACACAATGTGGGCTTGAACCCAGGACCTGTTATTTTCACTCGGTTTCTTTGCTCATGGCTGGCACTCGACCATTTGAGCCATGCCTCCAGTTCCAGCTTTTGTCAGTCCTGGGGCTTGAACTCAGGGCCCAGGGGCTGTCCCTGAGCTCTTTTGTTCAAGGCTGGCGCTCTACCACTTGAGCCACAGCGCCACTTCCGGTTTTCTGGTGATTTATAGGAGATCAGAGTCTCACGGACTTTCCTGCCCAGGCTGGCTTTGAACCACGATCCTCAGATCTCAGCCTCCTGAGGGGCTGGGATGACAGGAGGGAGCCACTGGTGCCTAGATCATCATTTGATCTTTTTCTCTTCCTTCCTTCCCTCCCTCCCTCCCTTCCTTCCTTCCTTCTTCCCTTTCTCCCTCCCTCCCTCCCTCTCTCCTTCCTTCCTTCCTTCCCTCTCTCCCTCCCTCCCTCTCTTCCCTCCCTCCC